CGGGGCGCGCGCGCGCGCGCTCACACACACACACACACAGAGCACTCTGCCACACACACACACACACACACACACACAGCACTCTGCCGGGAGCGCACACACACACACACACACACACACACACACAGCACTCTGCCGGGAGCGCACACACACACACACACACACACACACACACAGCACTCTGCCGGGAGCGCACACACACACACACACACACACACACACACAGCACTCTGCCGGGAGCGCACACACACACACACACACACACACACACACAGCACTCTGCCGGGAGCGCACACACACACACACACACACACACACACACAGCACTCTGCCGGGAGCGCACACACACACACACACACACACACACACACAGCACTCTGCCGGGAGCGCACACACACACACACACACACACACACACACAGCACTCTGCCGGGAGCGCACACACACACACACACACACACACACACACAGCACTCTGCCGGGAGCGCACACACACACACACACACACACACACACACAGCACTCTGCCGGGAGCGCACACACACACACACACACACAGACAGCACTCTGCCGGGTGCACACACACACAGCGCTCTGCGGGGAGCACACATACACAAACACACACAGCACTCTGCCGGGAGCATACACACACAAACACACACACAGCACTCTGCCGGGAGCGTACACACACAGCACTCTGCCGGGAGCACACACATACGCAGACACATGAGCGTACACACACACGTGCGTACACACACACACATCTTTGTCCGGACACTCTTATACACAAACACACACACCAAGCACTCTCCTGTGGGCGCACATACACACACAGTGATCTGCTTTCACACATACACTAACATAAAGTGCTCTCCCAAGAACACACACAGAGCAATCTGCTAGGGACATATGTAAATACACACACACACAGCGCTGTGCAGGGGCACACGTATACACATGGTACTCTGTTGGGGGGCACATTTATACACACATATTGCTCTGCTTGAGGCACATGAACACAGACACAGTGCTCTTCTGGGGGCACATACATGCACAGAATCCCGTGTGGGATGCACACCCCCAAAAATCCGAACACTGCTTCCTCCTACCCCACAGTATGCCTCTCTGTCAGAGGCATACACACATATTGCCCTCTGTGGAGAGGCACTTGTGTGGTTACTGAGCAATGCAAGTGGTACCTAGACCACAACAACAGTTAAAATCAAGAGACCTCTACAGCTCCTATATTCTGCTTCAGAGGTCTGGGTTCAAATCCCCCTGGTGGTGGTTACACATGCACACACATACTCACTGCTGGGGGGGGGGAGGCATGGGAAGGCACATCACAGATGTACTGTGGGAACACTGAACAGTATTAAACCATTCAGCTGCTAGGTGGCACTATATGTAACAATTTATTTAATTTTAAAATAACCTCAGCCATCCTTGGCCATACATTAAATAATTTTATAGTTAATATATCTTGTGGGGAGGAAACTATAGCCAATCCACCTAGATTACAGTAGTCTGACCTGCAACCTACAATGTATTCATAAACCATACCCCTCTTTACTGGGGGGAGAGGATAGAGAAACACAGCCCCATACTACCTACATGAAAAAATGATGAAATACACATATTCTTTTGCTTGGGAAAAGAGGAGTCATACACACATGCCCTCTGTATGTCATGAAATGTGGTTATACACCTTTCTTGGGAGGTCCCACTTCTGTCCCCCACTGAGGAAACATATTCTTCTGTTGTGCACATTGCACAGACACACTCATTTTCAGGAGGAACACACATCCTCTTGTGGAGAAAAGACAGTCATAAAATTTGGTTCAATAATCTTCCATATACAGGCAGTCCCCGGGTTACGTACAAGATAGGGACTGTAGGTTTGTTCTTAAGTTGAATCTGTATGTAAGTCGGAACTGGCGTCCAGATTCAGCCGCTGCTGAAACTGATCTTGCACAGACACACTCATTTTCAGGAGGAACACACATCCTCTTGTGGAGAAAAGACAGTCATAAAATTTGGTTCAATAATCTTCCATATACAGGCAGTCCCCGGGTTACGTACAAGATAGGGACTGTAGGTTTGTTCTTAAGTTGAATCTGTATGTAAGTCGGAACTGGCGTCCAGATTCAGCCGCTGCTGAAACTGATCAGTTTCAACAGTGGCTGAATCTGGAT